ACTTGACTTGACTTGGAAAAAAAATGACTTGAGACTTGACTTGACTTGACAAAGAAAGACTCGTGACTTGACTTGACTTGACAAAATTGACATTAACAAAATAGTTTTGTCATAGTTCCAAACATTTTTTTGGTGCACCCACTAGTTTATTATCGGGTGATGACTGATTGAAACTTGACTGGAGAGAAGTCCGTAAATCCCACCGCGCACCGAGCTGAGCTCAGACTGACTACTCAACACGGAACCTGGCGCTTTGTGCCTGCCATGCGTGGTTTTGTGCATAGTCTGATCACCCTCCGTTAACATACATGTACATGTATCTTCAACATTGCTTCATATTGTTTAAATGCTGTGTACTTATAACATGTTGCAAAAGGTTTTAACGACTGGAACAATGACTATGATATAGTTTATGAGAGGCAAGAATTCACATCACAAAGCAAAAAATGCTTTAGAAATGGTTTGTTTAACTCCTTCAAAAAATCATTATTTTTTTCAAAAGAATTTAAAAACTGATAATGAATTCTCTAAAGACATTTTGCTCAACAAAAAATGTGTATGGAAAAAGTGCGAAAACCCATTAGCGCCACTGCAAGTATATATGTTACAGATTATGTAATTCGTTATTACGGATTATTAATTCGTTATAACGGATTATTAATTCCTTATCACGGATTATTTAAGTCGTTATTACGGATTATTAATTCGTTATTACGGATTATTAATTCGTTATTACGAATTATTAATTCGTTATAACGGATAACTAATTCGTTATTACGGATTATTAATTCGTTATTACGGATTATTAATTCGTTATTACGGATTATTAATTCGTTATTACGAATTATTAATTCGTTATAACGGATTACTAATTCGTTAATACGGATTATTAATTCGTTATTACGGATTATTTAATTCGTTATTACGGATTATTAATTCGTTATTACGGATTATTTAATTCGTTATTACGGATTATTTAATTCATTATTACGGATTATTAATTCGTTATTACGAATTAAGTCTGATGTTCTCACACGTGACCAGGGGCCTATGTATATAACGCCGCTAGGCGGCGCTATCTTTGCATACAAGGTTTGCACTCCTGTGCCATACTTGCCGAGTAATGACTCAGAACGTATGAGTAATTCGTAATAACGAATTAATAATCCGTAACAACAAATTAAATAATCCGTAATAACGAATTAAATAATCCGTAATAATGAATTAAATAATCCGTTATAACGAATTAATAATCCGTAATAACGAGTTAATAATCCGTAATAACGAATTAATAATCCATTATAATGAGTTTAATCCGTAATAACAAATTAAATAATCCGTTATAACAAATTAATAATCCGTAATAACGAGTTAATAATCCGTAATAACGAATTACATAATCCGTTATAATGAATTAGTAATCCGTGATAACGAATTAAATAATCTGTAATAACGAATTAATAATCCGTTATAACGAATTAATAATCCGTAATAACGAATTAATAATCCGTAATAACGAATTAAATAATCCGTTATAACGGATTAGTAATCCTAATAACGAATTAAATAATCCGTAATAACGAATTAATAATCCGTTATTACGAATTAGTAATCCGTAATAACGAATTAATAATCCGTAATAACGAATTAAATAATCCGCAACATATATACTTGCAGTGGCGCTAATGGGCTTTCGTAAAAAGAATGTTTTATAAGTATGAAAACTGTACTTAAATTCTCCTAACATAATGAACACTTCGGCACTTGCACATGTAAACTGGTTCCCGTACATCTTCCCGCCCTACACCGCATGTTAGCGACTATTCAGATGGGAACCATGCTACCGTTAGAGCAAACTAATGCCTCGAACACACCACATGTACATGTACGTTACCGCTCGGCTAGGCTTCGTGCGTCAACATGTCTGCCCCGACAAGTTCGCGTCCGAAGGTGGTGACCTTTGGTTTCAAAGATTTTGAAATGTCTTCAAAGAAGCGGAATATTTTGCAGAACGATGTCAATAAAGAATAATGGAGAAATGGTACATTGTGTCATTTGAATTCTGATATACGTAACTGTGTAATACATTTGAAATTGACTCGGGACTTGAGTTTTGACATGAAAATTTGGCAAGTTGGTGCTATAATTGAAAAAAAAAAATTGACTTGAAATTTGTAAAAATTTGACTTGAGACTTGACTTGATTTGGAAAAATTTGACTTGAGACTTGACTTGACTTGAAAAAATTTGACTTGTGACTTGGGAAAAAATGACTTGAGACGAGACTTGACTTGGGAAAAAATGACTTGGTTACTTGGTTACAACACTGCATAGGCATACTACAAAGTCCTATATCTACAGAACTGTTGGTCCGATTGGGTTAAAACTTGGTATGTAGGTAGACCGGGATGTGTTATAGATGAAAATTGAGGTGATGTCATGATGATGTCATCGTGTGATTTTATATTAATTTTTTGAAATTTTGGACCTTTAAGCCATATCTCACGAACGCAACAGGCAAAATTAAAAATTCTTTTGGTATTATGTTTGTTGGGTAATAGGTATATTCTAAAAGTAGTGAAAATTGTGTGACATCATTATGACGTCATCAAAAATGCGATTTTTTAAAACACATACAAGAGAATGTCTGATCGTCATGAATCTTGGTAGGTGGGTAGATAATAGCACTAGTACTCAAAATCTGAAATGATGTCACAACGACGTCATTGGTATATTTTTTATGATTCTTTAAATATTGACAATTTTATTCCGCTTACAAAATTTAAAACTTTCATTCGTCTGATTGGCTTCAAACTTGGTACAGACTAAAAACTACAATTAAATAATATGCACTGCCAAGTGACATCATGATTACGTCATCACAGGGCATGTGACACCATCTTAAATGTGCAAACTTTAAGATCCTATATCTAAAGAACTGTTGTCTACGAAAGCCCATTAGCGCCACTGCAAGTATATATGTTGCGGATTATTTAATTCGTTATTACGGATAATTAATTTGTTATTACGGACTACTAATTCGTTATAATGGATTATTAATTCGTTATTACGGATTTTTTAATTCGTTATTATGGATTACTAATTCGTTATAACGGATTATTTAATTCGTTATTATGGATTATTAATTCGTTATTACGGATTATTAATTCGTTATTACGGATTATTAATTCGTTATTACGGATTATTAATTCGTTATAAAGATTAATTAATTCTTTATTACGGATTATTAATTCGTTATTACGGATTATTAATTCGTTATTACGGATTACTAATTCGTTATTACGGATTATTAATTCGTTATTACGGATTATTTAATTCGTTATTACGGATTATTAATTCGTTATTACGGATTATTTAATTCGTTATTACGGATTATTAATTCGTTATTACGGATTATTTACTTTGTTATTACGGATTATTAATTCGTTATTACAAATTAAGTCTGATGTTCTCACACGTGGAGAGCACGTGACCAGGGGCCTATGTATATAGCGCCGCTAGGCGGCGCTATCTTTGCATACAATGTTTGCTTTACACCGGCACCAAATAAAACGCTCGCACTCCTCCATACTTGCCGAGTAATGACTCAGAACGTATGAGTAATTCGTAATAACGAATTAATAATCCGTAATAACGAATTAAATAATCCGTAATAACGAATTAATAATCCGTAATAACGAATTAGTAATCCGTTGTAACGAATTAATAATCCGTAATAACGAATTAAATAATCCGTAATAACGAATTAGTAATCCGTTGCAACGAATTAATAATCCGTAATAACGAATTAAATAATCCGTAATAACAAATTAATAATCTGTAATAACGAATTAAATAATCCGTAATAACGAATTAATAATCCGTAATAACGAATTACATAATGTGTAACATATATACTTGCTGTGGCGCTAATGGGCTTTCGTAGTTGTCCAATAGGGTTGAAACTCGGTATGTAGGTAGGCCGGGATGTGTTATGTAAAAATAGCCAGGGACATGTTATTGATTAAAAAAAAAAAGCAAAATGCGGAAAAGCTTTATGTTCTGTTGCAAACAGACATAGATCTCTCGTTTTTATTTCCTCCAGAAAGATCTAAAAGGTTTCTTTATCTAGTAACTCACAAAAACCAAAAAAGAAAAGGACTCTAAGCAAAACAGTCAGTAGATATTTTGTTTTAATCCAGTAATTTTGGAAAACTACTTTAATTTTTTGTTACAATAAGACAAATTCTTTTTCTTTTGCAAGAGTGGATGCAGACTGATCCATTATAATCATTTATTTAATCATCTTGTTTTTCTTTTTTAAAAAGAACTGTTTATGTCAAGTTTGGAAAGATTATTCCTAATATTTTTTTTTTTTTTAAAAGGGGAATGTCACATCTCCACCCATCACGTCACTTGCCCAACATGGCTGATTAAAGAAGTGAAAGTTAAGAAGTAGCTGTGCGTATTCCTAACTAATCTGCATACGACATGCCGTGCGAAAAACTTTTTTTTACTCCTTGCAGTATTTCACAAGCATAATTCCTTGAATTTTTTGTAAGTTTTCTTGGAGAGTAAGCAAGAATGGGTTTATGCTTGTCATCGCTGCAGCCAGCCACACTTTATTGCAAGCTAGCATAACTGTATTTTGCTGCGTTTCGTACATACACACATCGTGTACATGCACAATGTGCTGGTTCATACTTCTCGACAAATTCCCATTGCGCCCCCCCCCCCCCCCCCCCCGAAAAACCAATCCAACATTTGCCGCTTGCCAAGGAAGTATCTTTTTGAGTAATTAAACAGAAGAGGAATATAGATGACTTATTTTACTTTCTTTAACCATACGGCTGTATGAAATGTGAATACATGTTAATTGATAAAACACCCTCTAATGCTATGGCCAGGTGTCAGAAGAAAAAAATTTTCTGAAGAAATTTTTTTTACAAAACAAAGGCCATTTCAGAAAGTGTTCAAATACACCCTAACAAATGCTCTTACCTGTTCAGATGTGTAGCACAGTTTGTTGCTCGTAGCCATATTATTTCGAATGTACTGTTTAGACAACTGAGTAAAGTCATCTACTACTACAGAAAATAAACGACGACCTCTGGGCCTGTGTTCAATAGATGGCAGGGTTACAGCAGGTGATGTTGGCAAGGGCAATAGACGCAAGTTGGGTATCTGTGTGAAAGAAAATTTCCTTAGTAATTATAACAATAACAAGGTATTATTGGTCAGTATTGGAACACTTTGTGGGGAATATAATTATATAATATTGGATGGCTTTGAGGTGGATACAGAATTTACTGAATGAGTAATGACAATTGAGAGCTTTTTTATTCACAACTATAGACCAGTGCCTTTGAATGGATTCCAGAGAAAGTGCACGTTTGCAGCAATAGGGCCACAGATTTCCCAAGTGTCCTCTGGATAAGGGCGACATGCCTCATTGGGGTGACAATTTGGTGGCGCCCTATCGTTCAAACAACCCTCAGGACAAGGAATTTTTCTGGCGCAACCCATCCAAAATCGATTCCTTGTGGTCCAACTAGCATAAATACTGAATTTTGTGGAAAAAGGATTAGGTAACTTGGATTAGGTGACAGTTTAGGTGTGTACACAAGTCTACGGTGTGTCACCCTATTATAGCATTAGTTATTATTATTATTATAATTACTATTATTATTTATATCAGGCTTCCAGCGGTAAAAATAAATCAGCGTATTGTATGCTTTCATAAAAAGTTCCCGGATGACTACAATAATAAAGTACCCGGTTGACTGCAATAACATTATTATTGCAGTCATCTGGGCATTTTCACTGGTTCCTGCTTGATCAAGAGCATAGAAAGTCACAGTTGTCAACCACTCAACAGAGCCTAGCGCGCGAGTACCGTTGAACACAGAACACGCCGCTCGCATGCAGCGTGCATGCAGTGCACAGAAGGCCAGCTGTACGCGCACTGTTGTCAACAACTGCAGCTTCAAAACATTTGATGTAAACGAAAAAGATGTACGGTAATGAAGACAGTGTCTTGAATTGCGCTTCTTGCGGATCAAGTCAGCCTAATATAAATAATAATAATAATATTGGATTGCTTGTTTTCGGTGGATACAAGAATAAATTGCCGTCGCTATGACAATATTGCACGAGTCTTCGACTCGTGCAATATTGTCATAGCTCGTGCAATATTTTCTTATATCCACCTTAAAGCCATCCAATATTATATAATTATTATATTGCACCTTCATTTCTCATTTTCTGAAATGGCCTTTTTGTTATATTTTTCTTTTTTTTCTTTTCCAGACTTTCGTCCATAGCATTTATACGCGTTTTTATCGTGCCCGAAACTTTGGGCACTTAAATCAATCCAATTGCCTTTATACTTGGCACACACTTAGACCAGCACCAGTCACTGTGTGCCGAACATTGAGGTCATCATGACGTCATCACGAGTCATGTGATGTCACAATATAGGTGCGAGTCACGATGACGTCATCACATAGCATGTGACGTCATATTAAAAGTGCATATTTTGAAGGCCTATATCTCCAGAATTACAGGTCTGATTTGGTTGAAACCTGGTTTGTACCTAAACCGGGATGTGTTATAGATGAAAATTGAAGTGATGTCACGATGAGTCACATGATGTCACGGTAAAGATTAATAGATGTAATCTTTGATAATGCATAAACAAGAGGTGACGTCATCATGATGTCATCGTGTGATTGTATACATATTTTTAAATTTTTAGGCCATATCTCATGAAACACCATATCTCATGAACACAACATGCAAAATTCGCAATTCTTTTTGTATTAGGCTTATTAGGTAATAGATATATACACATAATTGTTTAGAATGTGTGTTGTCATGATGACGTCATCAAAAACGTGATTTTTGAAAACACTTAAAAGGGACAGTCCGATCGTCATTAAACTTGGTGGATAGCTAGATAATGGTACTAGTATGCAAAATCCGAAATGACGTCACTATGACGTCATCGGTTGATTTTTTTTAATGATTTTTTAATATTTACAATTTCATTCCGCTTCCAAAATTTCACACTTCCTTTCACTGGATTGACTTCAAACTTAGTACAAACCAAGACCACAATGCAAAAATGTGTATTGACAAGTGTTATCAAGATGACGTCATCGCAGGGCATGTGACGTCATAACATGCCAAATCCGAAGCCACGTCAACATGATAATTAATTATTTATATTTTATATCTATTAGCTATACTAGCTCAATATATTACTTTTTAAGGACTTTGAACCAACAAAAACTGCACATTTGCAAAAAAACATAAAGTCATACAAAAATGATAAGTGGAAAAGCCATTTATTTAGTTTTCAAATAGACATAGACCTCTAGTTTCTTCTTCCTTTTTGCTGCCGCAAAATCCCATAGACATTGTACAAGTCTTTTTCAGCATGCACTTTTACCATTCATCTTTGTCATACATCATTCAAATGCACCATAGGCATAGTCCTTATAGCATAGATGTCCCCCGAAGAGTGGCCTCATGGTGACTTCATCATGGGTCATGTGACGTCATGTTAAAGATTTCTAGATTTAATCTTTGAAATCAATATGAAATCAACCATAGGAGACCTGAGCTTGATTTTTGCTGGAATTGACTGAATAATATGGGATCTTTATTCTATCTCGCAAGAACCAAACCATGTGACCCTTCTTTCCAGTCCAAACCAGATGTGCCTTATAATTTAAAATTGGAAAAAGATGTGAACTTGCTTTCAACGATTTTAGTCTATGGCTAGGTTGTACTTCACAAAATCAAATTACCGGTGACATCATAACATATTAGAGCACCCTCTAGCAGCAGGTCAAAAAATGATAATAATTAGTTGATGTATGTGGTGAAATTTGCTGAAATTACTTTATAATTGATGCATATAATCAGCTTTAAGCTAAAAAAAAGTTAAGGGGGAGAAAGATTTATGACATCAAGTGACCGGAAGTTACAATAAAAAGACCTTTTAACATTGAAAATTGCTAAAAAATCAACCGTGACAGATAATTTTTTTAACCAGGGTTTCCTACGGAGATTTCACCTTATCTTTGCTTTTGGCCAGCAAACTTATGTGCTGAGTTGGAAGATGGGCGCCTCCAGAACCTGTAGTGATCAATATCCTGTTTATAAAAACTTTGTGGGAAACTTGCGTTTTTGTGACACTTTCACTCACAATGTGTTTCACTCACAATGAAAATTGAAGTGATATCATGATGACGATACCACATGACATGTGATGTCACCTTAAAGGAGCAGTTTTCTAAGGCCTATATCTACAGAACTAAATAATGGTGCTGTCGCGAGAGCTACAATCCCTGCCAAAATGGTTGGGACACTTCCTTAGCCTCTCACTGTCACCCACTCCCCTGCTCCTCTGGTCAATGTTGTTCTCTCCAGCTGATGGAGCACGCTCCGCATCATGAGAGAAAACATTGAGTGTGTGCTAGGGGGGTTGGGGGCCCATTGAGATTGTAGACAGGTTTTTCCCATTGCGGGAATTTCACTTTATAAATTTCATTTTTTTCTACCTTTTTAACTGCCCATCTCCGTTTTTTACTTGTGTGTGGACACTTTTAACATCTTCTAGGACCGGTACAGGGACGTATTTTTACATTTTCATACTGTTTTGGGATTTTTGTTACTTGTTTTTAACCTGTTGGAAATAGTGACTGTGGCGTATAGACAGTGTTGTTGACTCGAGTCGCTGACTCGGACTCGAGTTGGACTCGAGTCGCTATTTTTCAGACTTGAGACTTGACTTGACTTGGAAAAAAAATGACTTGAGACTTGGCTTGACTTGACTAAGAAAGACTCGTGACTTGACTTGACTTGACAAAATTGACATTAACAAAATAGTTTTGTCATAGTTTCAAAAAATCATTATGTTTTTCAAAAGAATTTAAAAACTGATAATGAATTCTCTAAAGACATTTTGCTCAACAATAAATGTGTATGGAAAAAGAATGTTTTATAAGTATGAAAACTGTACTTAAATTCTCCTAACATAATGAACACTTCGGCACTTGCACATGTAATCAGGTTCCCATACATCTGCCGCCCTACACTGCATATTAGCGACTATTCAGACGGGAACCATGCTACCGTTAGAGTAAACTAATGCTTCGAACACACATGTACATGTACATGTACGTACATACGTTACTGCGTGGCTAGGCTTCGTGCGTCAACGTAACATGTCTGCCCCGACAAGTTCACATCCGACTGACTCGGGACTTGAGTTTTGACATGAAAATTTGGCAAGTTGGTGGTATAATTGAAAAAAAAATTGACTTGAAACTTGTAAAAATTTGACTTAAGACTTGACTTGACTTGTAAAAATTTGACTTGAGACTTGACTCGACTTGAAAAATTTGACTTGTGACTTGACTTGACTTGGGAAAAAATTATTTCGGTTGTACATCTTGTTGATTGGATTGGGAAATGATTTCAACACAAACCCGGGCCCACCATCTCCTTCATCGACTCTGCTTGATGACCCACCTGTGCCATGTGCCATCTGTGTTGACGAAGTAGGCCATTATCCAGTCAAGGGCATATGGTTTGATGAATGTAAGAAATGGAACCATGCTTCTTGCATTAACATGGGCAATAAAACATACAACTTTCTTGCGAACTCAAGTATTTCATCGATTTTTGCTGAATGTGGACGGCCAAATTGAGTCCAACAACTCCAAATTTCGTCTAATTGACCCTGACCGGTCACTTAGTCATGAACAACCACTGGCATCATCATCACCCAAGAGCCTGAGTGGAGCTTCTACTACAAGATCAACAAATAAACCCAAACCCAACAAAAAGCCTAGTACTAGAGCAAAACAAACTGACAGTCCTTGTTGGAACTGGCGTTCCATATAGTGCGATTAGTGAGCATTAGCCGTCGACAGAGGGCGCGCCTCACACCTTTACTCCCATGCGCCATGTGAGTCGCTATCTTTGTCAGTTTGGACATGTTGAAAATAAAAGGGGTTTTTAAACGGAAAATTGTTGCTATACTTCGTTAAGTTGGCAGTAATATTTCTCAGAATTATATGATAAAGGGTTCAGATCTGGGAGATTCAAAGTTGCAGAATTAAACTG